CCAAAGAAATTACACAGAGAGTCTACATTAATGATAAACTGATTGGCCCATTAACTCAGGCTTATTAGCTCTTGTAGCTTATATTAACCCATTATTCTTATCTACGTTAGCCACATGGCTTAGTATCATTTTCAGCTGGACAGGTCATATCCTGCTTCTTCAGTGATCTGGGCAGGACTGTGAAAGAACTTTCTTCTTTCCAGAAAACTCCTGCTCTCATTGCCCCACCTCTACTTCCTGTCTTGTTTTCCTGCCTATGCTTCTTGCCTGGATAATGGCCAATCAGTGTTTATTTAAAACATGATTGACAGAATACAGACAATTCTCCCGCACCAGTGGAATTCCATATTTTTATGCTAAATATAAAAATGCAATTAATTATAATGAGTTATGCTTTAGTGGTCTTCACATGGAAGATAGTTTCAAAATAATAAAAATCTGGTACTAAGCATTCTCAAAGAGAGTATTACTTAACTATCTCAATCCTGTGCTAAAAAGGGAACAGAATGTGCAATAGTAATTCTCAGCCTCAGGAAGAATCCTTATCTCTCAGAAGATGAATATAAGGGCTCGGTATATCTGTCCGAAAAAAAAGGCATAACATAGTGCTTATTCCCTATCATGATTACAAGAGGAAACCTTCCCCCAAGAAATACCATGTAAATTTCCATCTTCCAGATTATCTAGTGACTGCCTCTACCACAAGTAAGACCACACCTATAACCTAAGAACTGGGAGTCAAAGAGAACATCTCTAGGGATAGGGATATGAGTTAGTTAATAAGAGTGCTTCCAGGCAAACATGAGAAGTTGAGAATCCCAACATCCATGTAAAGAGCCTTAAGTAGCCACTCATTTCTGTCTGTTTTCTCAGAGCTGTAGATAGAATCAGGAGGCTCCATGGGGTTTGTTGACGAAGCCTCAACTGAATGGGTGAGCTCTCAATCAGTGAAATACCGTATATCAACAAATTACAAAGAGGGCCAAAAAGGTGGCTCAGCTTGTAAAGCTACCCTGAGTCTGACCCCTGTGCATGCAAGATAGGAGAAAACTGAATCCCACAAGTTGTCTTCTGACTGTCATTTGTGGGTCATGTTATATGCATGTATGCACTCATGCGCGCGCGCACACACACACACACACACACACACACACACAAATAAATAAATAAAATGTAATTTTTAAAATTTAGTTTGATATCTAATGAAGAAGATACCTGTCATCATCATTTGGCTTACACACACATGCACTCGTACACACACACACACACACACACACACATACACATGCATACATACATGCAAACAGGCACACATGCACATATCAACATTATATTAAGTGATGAAAAATAGAAAACATTTCCTCTAAAGTTTGGAGTGATACAAGTTGTCAGTCTCTACATTCTTTTGATATAGTGCACATGTGCACGTGCACACACACACACACAAATACAGATAACTCTTAAACACCCACCTTCTCTTCAAGCACTGCAAATAATGAGGAGTATGCCACAGGCTGACAATGGCAATCTCAATTTAACATACATATCGGTTTCATTGTCATGTGTGCCAGCTCATTACCAAGACTTGACAAGAAGGAAGAATGTTCCAAAAGTTCAGAAAGATATTCCAGAGGTTACATCCTTGCTCAGCACCAGTACTCAAAAAGCATACATGTTCAACAAGTGAAAGTGTTAAGGAACATCTGAGTATCACGCACAAACACTGTCCCAGTATATTTATAGTTGGAAGGGATGCTGCAGCTTTAGTCCTATGTTTGCCAGGACGACTCACTTTTCTTATAGAAGAAGGGCATCATCAGTCAGCTCACGTTACCGCCCACCCTTCCTCTCAATTCCAATTGGGTACTCTACAAAGGATTCGTGAAGAAACCACACACTTATGCAGGCAGCCAGAGGCTTGCAGGAAAGGGTTTAAGGCAAGCAGGGAATTTTGTGTGGAAATCAATTCTTTGCGGAAGTCAATGTGTTATGGACATTCAAGCAAGAGAAATTCCAGAGAGAATGAATTGCTCAAGTAAGCCAGCTACTTGAGGTGTATATCTGCAGTCAGTAGAAGAAAAAAAGGGAAGGGGTGAGTTAACCCTTCAGGCAGCTCCTAAATATGCATTACCCATTGAGTGGGGAGAGCCAGAGAACTGAGGCTGGGTCCTTTAAAACAGAATTCCTTACAAAATTGATTCACAAACTAGAACAAATTCCCCCCAAATCAAATGGATGTCACCAACAGGCTCCTTCTTCCTTGGGCTCTCCTGAAAAGGACTAAGCTCATAGGTAGATTCTAATGTCTCTGTGAATATAGGCCATTCTGAAGCACTGGGAGTGAACTGTCCCCTGATGCCTGAGAACAATCACTCCAGCAGGAGAGTTTGATAATAGTGGGTTCATGAAAATGATGTCAGATAAAATGAATCTGCGGGAAAGAAATTGGAGACTGGCTGCTGCTGTCAGAGCTGTTTGAGAGAAGACAGGCCTGGCACAGAGAGCAGAAGCTAGGGCAGTGCATAGAGAGAGGGCCACCAATGTGCTTTTAGAAAACAAGTCAATGTTTCACAAAGGAGTGATTAAAGATGGCCATGCCCCTGTAGACTCCAGCAAGACACTGCAAACATTCTCGATGGTGAGAAGACACAGGGCTCTGGTTTGATTTTCAGAGAAACTGACTTCTATTTGATTCATTTGCAGCCTGGGTAGGAAGGCAGCAGACCAATTGCGGGAATGAAAACCAAAAAAAAAGAACCTAAAATATTCCTTTGTACTATGCAGAGTTGAAGGTGAGGAAGCTGGTGTCCACCTGGGTGTGAAGATGAACTCTGTACGCTGTGACAAAGAATCTGGTTCAAGGTTCTGGAACAAGTCAAGAATAACATAACACCACAAGCCATTCTCCAAACTTAAAAATATCTTCATCAACCACCAGGTCAAGAATTTCAAAGACAGGCTCATATATGGAAAGAGAGTGAGTTTGCTTTCTAGGTCAAATGTCCGTACTGGAAGATCAGGCAACCTTCCTCAAGTCTAAGTGAGCGAGTTTTGCTCAGTTAATATTGAGTACACCATTACTTACTATTAATAAATAGTACACCAGTGTAATGTACCCATTTTGATATAATTCAGTGATCAAAGATGCGTTATGGGAGGAAGTTGGGTGAAAGGAACAGGAGAACTTTCTGAAACTTCTTATGAGCCTGAAATTATTTGTAAATTAAAAATGTAAAGGTTTGGGAATAGGCTCAGTGAGAAAATCACTGTGCAAGGAGTAAACCACTGTGCAAGGAGTAAACCACTGTGCAAGGAGTAAACCACTGTGCCAGCAGGAGGAGCCAAGCTCAGAATCCTGGCATCCACAGGGAGTGCAGCGGTGCACATATGCAGTTCCCCCTCAAATGACTTGGGGATCTTAAAATCTATCCTCTATTTCCCTTTAATGCAAATATATTTGCATAAATATATAGTGTATATTATGTATATGTATTTATATCATATAAAAATATGATGTACATATATTTGTGAAATATATATGCATTTGTTAAACACATATATTCCTAAAAGGAAAAAAACAAGCAAATATATCAAAATGGAAGGCATCGGAGAAGGAAACAAGCAAACTGGCTTCAGCTTCACTTTTCTGTTGCTGACTAGGTCTGCTTTCTAGGTTGAATGCCTATACTAAGAGATTAGGTGATTAAGTGGAGGTTTTGCTCAACCATTGTGATCACACCAATGAAATAGACCCATATTGATATTATTCCATGACCTCTATGTTAAGAGAAGAACCATTCAGCTGGATTCCTCTCATGTAGGCACTATAGTCTTCAGATCACCACTTTCCAGGCTGGTATGCTGGTATACTGTATGCAAGATGGGTCTTAACTTTTCTTCTAGTCGGGGAATATGCCACCTACCCCAGGAGGCAAGGGTGTTCCAGCATCACCTAGGATGAGCTGGGAAACCTTGGCTGCTTTTGTCAAGATGCCTCAGTGTAGATGAGATTATATTACCCAAGCAAGTCTTCGAAAAAAAGAACTCTAGGCCCCACAGCTGGCCTCCTAACTGTTCAACAAGCCTGCCGTGGCCAAAAAGTTAAACGCAACTTGTCTATAGAGTTTGGTTTCTGATGATCCATGAAATTCTGCCTCTGTTTGTCACTGGCCTATTAGCCACCCCTATTAGGCACCTAAAATGGTGTGTAAGTGCCGTGCTTTGGGAAGACACAATTAAAAGTGTAAGGAGAGTTGAGCAGAGGACCATACTTTTATTGGGAATTACTCAACTGAATGTAATTAACAGCAGCTTTTCCAGTATGTTTCTCAGAAATTGGGCACAAATGTCATAATACTGTGGCAGTGGAGGATCTATGGGGACGTGTGTCCACAGATACCCAGAGTAGCACCCTGGGAAAGGGAGGGTCTTAGCCCCCGCTGGAGGTAGACCAAGGGATACAGTAACTAACAAGGGAGAAATTAAATGGCCTTCCACTATTGTAGTGCAACTCCTCACTCACAAATCTAATGATAAATAGAAAAATTATTTCACCATGTGGCTGTAATTTCACCACATTAAATTACACCAAATAATGGAATAACAATTAAGATCATGCTCCTGAAACCTTATGTCTTATATGCCTCCTGAATATAAAAATCCTTTTTTGGCAAAAAAAATATGGTCCAATTAATATGATAGGCTACAGGTGATTTGATAAGTAATGGGCTTCAGAACCAAGAGATCCAAAACAAGATGCTTCAGTTTGTATAACGAAAATACCACTCGTTGGTCTTATTTATCATATTAAATAGCTTTCATAGGGATTCTGAGAACAGTTGCTAAATTGCTCAGCTAACACAAAATCATAAACAAATGTCTAAATACTAATTAGAGTGAACAGCTAAAATCAAATATCTGATGCTACTGTGAACTGATAGAAGAGATTTCCTACACCATCAGCTTAGCTTAGCTTCTCCCGGCAGAAAGGAAGCTCTTACCTCTATCACATTGGTGGGACTGAAAGTGTAGACGCCAGCTGGTGCCAACATTTCAGGACTGGACAGTCCCTCAGCCCCAGAAACACTGATGATCACATTGTTTCTTATTGTACTTCCCTGTTCCCACCAGTCTAATTTAAAAAAATAAAACAAATACAGGGGATTCACAAACAATTAAGATTTATATTCAATACACTTTGACTCTGTTAATGCAGATTATATATATATATATATGTATATTCCCACCAGTCTAATTTAAAAAATAAAACAAATACAGGGGATTCTCAAACAATTAAGATTTATATCCAATACACTTTGACTCTGTTAATGCAGACTATTTATATATATATGTATATTATATATAACACTATTTTAAATAACAATAGATATTATAAAGATGGTATTAGTGATGCAGCAATGGCTACAAGAATAAACTATTCTTGAAAAGAACCAAAGCTCAATTTCCAGTACCCATATTGGACAGTTCATAACCTCCTATAGTTCAAACATCATGGGTAATCTGACGCCCTCTTCTGAGCTGTATGGCCACCTGCACACATATTCATAAATTAAAATATTTTTTTAAAAATTATATATCTTTTTATATGATTGGAAAATGTTCTAATCTATGGGTAGAGCAATAAACTATTAGAAATCTGTCTTTAATCCTCTGTCACTTTAGCAAGAGTAGTACTGGCTTTGATTAGAAAAGAACAAAGACACAGAAGTCTTCTCAGAGTTGAGTGGAAAGGGATAAGAAAGTTGAAAGCAGGAATTGGAGGGATGAACATAGTTCAAAATATATTGCTTGAAAGTCTCAAAGAATTCATAAAATATTTTTATTTATATATAAATATAGTAAAATAGTAAATATAATACAGAAAAAGAGTATGCTCAACAAGTTTGCAATTAACATTTCATATCTGCCTATAACAATTAAAGATGAACTGTCAAAATAAAATAAAGTTATATATTTACCATTTTTTCTTCCAGTAATAGTCTCACTAGCTGTAAACTTTCTGTCCATATAGGTCCCTGAGAACAGAGGATTATATTACTTTTGCATATTTGATATCATTCAGGAAAGCAAGAGAAAAATAAAACATGATTTCTTGTTTGGGTAATTTTTATCTATGATGCAGAGAAAGAGATACATATTGTAGCAACTACGAGTCTTAGCATCCTGTGGAGCTGAAGTTTCCTTTAAATATAAATAATCATAGTAATAGTGTTGTTTTTAACAAAAATCTCAATCATTCAATTTTACCAATAAAGTCTTGTTAGCCAGATGCTAGGGTAAAAGCCTGCTTGCTCAGAGAAGCAGAGAAAGCACCCAGCTGACCTTCTTCCTCAGACCACATCTCAGAAGCCTCCTGCCTTCCCTACACTGTAGCTGACATTATCTTTGGGCTGCCAATAAACTCCCAAATAAAGACATGGAGACTTATTATTAATTATGGATTAATAATAAGCTTAGGCGTGTTCCACTCTATCTCTTTTACCTTAATTTAACCTGTTTCTGCTCATCTACATTTTGTCTCGGCTTTTTACCTTTCTTTCATTCTTATGTCCTACTTTCCATGTTCTTCTGTGTTTGGCTGACTGGCTTCTGGTGTCTTTTTTTCTCTCTTCCCCCTCCACCTAAATTCCTACTACTCACTCTCAATGCACAGCAGTCCTGCCTATACCTCCTCCCTTGCTATTGGCCATTCAGCTTTTTATTAGAGCAGTCAGGTGCCTTAGGCAGGCAAGGAAAAACAGCAACACATCTTTAGATAATTAAATGTATGCAACACATCTTGACAAAGTTAGACAAATATTCCACAGCACTGTGCCATTGCAAAAGAACCTCCTCAAACTTCATGTCTCTCCCTTCTATTTCCTGTGCATCTCTCTATCCATCCTCCTGATTCCCTCTATAATTATTTCTTAATGATCCTATGTTCACTCCCTATCAAATGGTTGCTTGCTCTGCCTCTTGACCTATGGTTGACTTTATTTAATTCTATTTACAATATTCAAGCAGAAAATTCTTGGATTAAATAAAGGTGTGTGCTACGGCCGAGCCACACCAGAACCAGAAACATGTTTTTCCAATCAATAAGACAATCTCAGGGCTCATGGCATGATCAAATATTCTACAACAGAATAGGCCTTCAATATCAATTCTTAGATGAAGTCTAAGTAACTAGCTTCATTGTCTAAACCAGACAGACAGCCCTGGTTGAACTCATTGGGTCACAAAAAATAGACATAAATGTGAGGAGGAGACCTGGAGTGTAGGAAACAGGGAGAGATAATGAGAAGATGGGTAGGAAATGGGAGCAACCAGATAATCTTCAATGTGCACATAGAATTGCCAATGAATAAATTTAACAAAAATATAACAATGAAAAGTCACACAGCTTGTGTCCAGCTGATTCTGGTTCTCAAATCTGATGCATTGTTATTTCTAGAAGAGCAGACATGTTCTGAAGGAACATGCTGGACAGGCTGAAGGAGTTACAACCACAATGAGAAAGGACTAGAACAGATCACAAGTCCCAACCATGTGACACAAAAGGGATTACTCCTTTAGGTTGGATCACTACTATGTACACAGTGCCACAGAACCCCTCACTACTAGGACTTTATTTTATCTGAGATTCCCAGGTCATTTAATCGCTCTGAACCTGTGATTGCTTTAAGTATGACAGAGAACTTCATAGTGAATCAATTATTTAAATTCCCTTGGTTACAAAGGATGTCAAGAGCCAATAATCCACAATAACCAAGGCAGAATTCCTGCTACAGGTACTTTTTATTGCCTATTCAGTATAATTTTCTGCTAAAAATCATATTGTTAAGATGCCATCCTAAATCTCTGCTTGCAGTCATAGACTTTCACAGAGAAAATTAATAACACAGTCAAGTCTGCACCTGTTGGCTTGATTTCTGTGGCCACACTTCCCTAGTCAAAAGATTTTTTTTTTGGTTCTTTAGAGACAAGGTTTCTCTGTAGCTTTGGTGCCTGTCCTGAAAGTAGTTCTGGCCTCGAACTCACAGAGATCCGCCTGCCTCTGTCTCCCGAGAGCTGGGATTAAAGGCGTGCACCACCACCACCCGGCTAGTCAAAAGATTTTGTGTGGCTGATGACTCCATGTATCTGCTCTTTGCCTTCAAGATGGAGTTTGTTTTTAAGTGAGTTCGTATGTTTCATAGTCCCCCACAAAACATCTCTTTTGGGATTAGAATGTTTTCAGCTTTTTATCTCAAAAGTTTGCTCTTAAATGAAACATACACTTTCCCTGGATCACACCACAGGGCTCATTTAAAAGTAAAACACTAACAATTATAACCTTACTTTCTACAAAAATCTTTGGTTTGCTTTTATGTTCTGACACAATCAGAGACTGCTTATTAATTCATTTCTTTCAGGCACCCGGCCTACAACAAACTATCAAGACGAATGCCAAGAAGACAGTGTCTCACAAAACCTAGTGGTAAAACAAGAGGAATTGGAATGTGACATTGAATTTTAAGTTGAGAAGTTTCTAGCCTGGAGATGTAGGGGGTAAGAATGTTCCAAGAGAATAACTGTCATGAACGGAGAGAAAAAAACTTTTTCCAAAAGCCGTGTGGCAGCAGAAAGGCTGATCTTTGAGAAGAATGAAATAAAGTAGCTTCTGCATTGGGACAGCACAGAAGAAGAAGTGAAAAGGATGAGGAGGGCTTTGCTGAAATCAGTTGGGGTGGAAATCACTAACAGTGGGCACTCTTTAGCCCAGCTAAAACTTCTGGATTGCTGTCTGGGAGAGATGTGATGCCGACTGAGACTTGTAATTATCTAAGGACAGTTCTGGGGTTTGGTCATGACCTTAAAGGAGAATGGCAGAAACTTGCGAACAGTCTGCCAGGTCGGAAACTGCAGTTTCAGCCTACCACAGAAGCATTTCCGCACAACTTCGATTTTAAAATCTTCAGCCAACATCATCCAAGCCTGATCATCTGAGACTATGTGTGGATTTGGAATTATGGGAAATTTCATGGCAGTAAATTTTAAAACCCTCCTATTAGACACTTATTAGCCCGAATTCAATTTTCAAGTGACTTACTTCCCATTGATACTGTTTAGTAAGTCACTCAGTGGTGAGTAAATTTAAATTTGTTTTTTGAGCTATGTCCTATTAGGTAATGCTCAGAAAAACAATGATTTTGTAAGTTTGGAATTCAACAGTGTGTAAGAATGTTTATGAAAGATTGCCCATCCTACTCAAGAATATGTAAATTAACCCAGCAAATTTACTTACCCACCAGCAGGGCATGACCTATAATCTTGTAGAATATATTACTCTCCACCCTCAGGCCCCAGGTCCTGTGCATACTAAGGCCTCTGCTGAATGAACCCCATATTGAACAGCTCTGGAGATAGGAACCTGAATGGAAAAGAATAAGGTGAACATTTTCCTCACACCTCAGAGTCTCCTCAGATTTTGTTACCCATATCCAAACAAGATACATCATCACCAGAAAACATTTTTTTCCACAAAAACATGAAACTCTGTCCTTTGCAAAAAAGCAAACAAACCAGGAAATCGGGCAACTAAGACTACTAGAATTTGAAGCTAAAGCTAGTTGCAATCCAAGACACAAATGCTAGAACGAGATATCCATATCTGGCCAAGCCACAAAGCCACAGAGCTATCAAAAATTCTACCTATTCAATGGCGTTCATCACAATATGGTAGAACAGCCATCAAGGCCTTATGTAGTTTAACGTGGATTTTTAAAAACTACACTTGCATATGAAGTTGTGACCAGTATTTCTTGGATGAGAAATTCAAGTATATACCTTGTCAACTGTTCTAATTTAGCTTCTATTGCTGTGTTAAATACTATGGCCATAAGGAAATTGAGGATGAAAGCATTTATTCTATCCTACAGCTTGCATTCTGTTCATGAGAAAACCAAGGCAGAAACCACTGAGGAAGACTGTTTACTCGCTCACTCTCCCACGGGTCATGCCCGAGTAACTTTTTTATACACTCATGACCACTTGTCCAGGGACAGTGCCATGGGCTGGGCCATGATTGACAGAGATGCTACCCTGGGCTGCACCACTGTAGCTGATAGCAAACAGTTATTTGTTGATGGTTGCAAGACATAAACCATTCTTTTTGAAGGATGCAGAGATGGAGATATTGGGGCAGAGCCATCACTTTCCTAAATGTCACTTTACTTCAGGAGAGTTGAAGTAGCTTCCCCTGTATCTTCATAAACCTGGTTCTCAGGTCAGTTTTGAGTTTTGACTCTGCTACAGTGAACGCTGCCATTAACTGGAGGCAGGTGGCACATGTGTTGCTCTCTTATACTGTTTTTGAAGATCATAGACATATGTGGATAGTATGCATGCACACACTTTATACACATGCATATAAAAGAGAACCTCATATTTACATGTACTGTTAAAAACTAAAAAAAAAAGTAAGTTCTGCTGTATGTGTAAAAATAGGGCATTTGTGGCCAGGTGGTGGTGGTGCACACCTTGAATCCCAGAACTCAGGAAACAGAGGCAGGCAGATCTCTGAGTTTAAGGCCAGCCTGGTCTACAGACTGAGTTCCTGTATAGCCAGGACTACACAGATAAACCATGTCTTGAAGAACAAAAAAAAGAAGGAAAAAAATAGGGCATTTCTAAGCACTGAGTTCTAAATTAAATTTATAATCTTATTTTTCTTATCTTTAAACAAACAAAATGTTAAAGTTATTATTCTTAGTACAGGCTTCTTTAAAAATGAACCTATTTTTATTATGGACAGTTTTTCCTCTTTTAAGTTTATAATAATATGCACCATAGACTGTCTTAAGAATAATCTGCGTCGGGCGAGATAATACATTGAAGAAGAATGAAGCCTTGGAGGAAGAGTGAATGAATGGGGTGATGGACGATGATCATAGGAAATTGAAGATGAGCAAAGTATATTCTATTCATGAATGAGATCTTATAAAGAACCCCATTAGTTTGCACTGTTAATAAATTTGAATAAAAGTGAAGAATAGTCTACATCAGTCAAGATATATTAGTAAACTTTATAATTCCATTATGACTTTTATCATATGAGTACTATGTAGTTGGTATGATATCTTTCGAAGATAAATCCCTGGAATAACTAGGTCTTAGATCAAGTAGGATTAATTTGGAAAACTGTATATTGGCTTATAACTAACACCGAAGGTATTTTGTAGATAATCTAAAAAAATAATAAAGATAAATCATTTGCTCTTGAAATACCAGTTCAAATTTGTGCTTCATTTTTCTTCTCAAGAAAAAAAATAATTATTAGAAGTTTTAAGTATTTTACCCCCCGAAAAAAGAACAATAAAACACTCCTGGTGCTGTTGTTTTTTATTTAATTGTATTTTTGAAAGCAATCTCTTTTATTTTACATAATAATCTCAGTTCCCTCTCCTTCCCTTCCTCCTGTTCTTCCCTTCCACCCACCCGACCTTCTGTCCTCTCCTCAGAGAGGGTGAGGTCTGCCATGGGGGGTCAACAAAGACTGTCACATCACATTGAGACAGAACCAAGGCCTCCCCTGTATCTAGATTGAGCAAGGTGTCTCTCCGGAAAGCCAGTACTTGCTCTAGGATTAAATCTTAGTCCCACTGCCAGTGGTCCCACGATCTGCCCCAGCCATACAACTGTCACCCACATTGAGAGGGCCTTTTTCAGTCCCATGCAGGTTCCCCAGCTGTCAGTTCAGAGTCAGTGAGCTCGCTCTTGCTTGGGTTAGTTGTTAATGTGGGCTTCCCCACCATGGTATTGAACCCTTTGCTCATATTATTGCTCCCCTCTCCTCTCTTCAACTGCGCTCCAGGAGCTCTGCCCAATGCTTAGCTGTGAATCTTGGCATCTTCTTCCATCAGTTACTGGTTGAAGGTTCTGTGATGACAGTTAAGGTAGTCATCAATCTGATTGCAGGGGAAGGCCAGTTCAGGCATCCTCTCCACTATTGCTTAGGGTTTTAGCTGGGTTTATCCTTGTGGATTGCTGGGAATTTCCCTAATGCCAGGTTTCTTGCTAACCACATTATGGCTCCCTCTATGAATATATCTCTTCCCTTGTTCCCCATCTCTGACCTTCTCCAAACACAGCCAGTCAGATCCCTCATGTTCTCCTCTCCATTCTCCTTCTTTACTCTCCCTTCCCTTCCATCCTCCTCCCTGCTCCCCATGCTTCCAATTCACTTAACTGAAGGTCTTGTCTATTTCCCCTTCCTAGGGGGATTCATGTATGTCTCTCTTAAACTCCTTCTTGTTTCCTACTTTCTCTGGGGCTGGTTATCCTTTGCTTTATGTCTAAAATCCACTTATCATACCATGTTTGCCTTTTTAGGTCTGGGTTACCTCACTCAGGATGATTGTTTCTAGTTCCATCCATTTGCCTGCAAGTTTCAAGCTGTTATTGTTTTATACCGCTGAGTAGTATGTACTCCATTGTGTAAGTGTACCACATTTTTTTATCCATTCTTCAGTTGAGGGGCATCTAAGTTGTTTCCAGGTTCTGGCTATCATGAATAATGCTGCTATGAACTTAGATGAGCAAATATCCTTGTTGTATGAATATGCATCCGTTGGGTATATGCCCAAGATTATTGCTTAGTCTTGATGAAGATTGATTCCCAAGTTTCTAAGAAACCACCATACTGATTTCCAAAGTGGTTGTACAAGTTTGCATTCCCACTGGAAATGGAGGAGTATTTCCTTTAGTCCACATAAAATTATGACAATTAGAGTAACATTTTGAGGACAGTATTGGACAGTGTGGTGATCTGGGGTAAAAAGTCTTAAGAACAATTTTTCCTTCTATGTATTCTATTAGGAACAAAACCATAGAAGCTTAGAAAGGAGGAGGGCTGCTTTTGTTTCATATATATATATATATGTGATATATATTTATATATGTATATATATATACACTCCTCATTTAAGGGTAAAGTGTAAATATTTGGCCTGTAAAAAATCTATATTTCCACAAAGCTTTATGTTGATTTTAGAGCAAAATATCTAGTTTCTCATAAGAATAAAAAAAGTAATACCTATAAATTAACTCATGAATAATCACTGCTTTCAGAAACACTGTCTGGATTTTTTCCCCCACTCTGAATCTCTATCAAAACATCACCCTCTCAGAACACACTGCACCTGAACCACTAGCACTTCCTCACGTGTCCAAGCTGCTCTCTGGTGAGTGAGTGCATCTCTGAATTTAATAAGCTCCATATGAGATTAATTTAGGTACTAAAGTTTGGAAAGTATACAGATAACCTATAAACATTTATCAATCTCTGAATTCGTCAGTCCGACATATCACCAGTGTGGTACCATCAACATAGAACAAGAAAACTGGGAAGACCGAGAAGCGGTTTCTTACCTCTCAAGGCTCCCACCAAGGTGAGTGAGCTTGAATGCTTACTGAAGGCCTGCCCCAGGTCTCGAAACTGCACTCCCTTCAGCTTGACCAAGCTGGGCTCCTCTGGAAAGGACTGAATGATCACTCTGGCCCCCAGATCCCTGGCTCCCAGCATTTTCTCACTCTTATAATACAAACAGTGCTTTAGGTTTCCTGAAACACAAAATGATGTTCAGGGGAAACTTTTAAGAATGCTTCTAGACAAATCTCTATTTGCAAGGTTCTATGGCTAACAGGGCAAACCATCCAACTGTCTTCTTTCACTATTCATGATTTAAGGAAAGTCGGGGCAGGCACTCAAGCTGATACCGTGGAAGAACAAAGATTACCAGCTTGTTCTCCAGTTCATACTCAGGTAGCCTTCTTCTGTAGCCCAGACTCACCCACCAAGATGTGGTGCTGCCCACAGTGAGCTAATCTTTCCCCTGTCAATCTGCAGTCAAGACAGTCGCTCACAGAAATGATCAAAGGCTCATCCAATATTGGTAGTTCCTTAAATGAGGCCACTTCTTCGCAGGTGACAGGAGGTTCTGTCCAACTGACAACAAAAATTAACCAGCTCACCTACATGGCCTTCTGTATTGCTGCACTGTGGTTAATATTAGTATCTCAATAACCAGCAAAAGAGAAGGCAGTAGTTCACAATAATGTGTCACTGTCTGGTGAATTACAAAGTCTAATCCTTCAAAGAATTGACCTATAAGCAGTAAATGAAGAGATGAAGTGTGTTTTATGTTTTGGCACAATTGTGATCCTGATTTGGTGAGATTTTGAAGGTGGCAATCAGTTCAAACCCACTTTTAGCCAAACATTTTTTCTTCTGTTCAAATTACATATTTGTTAGTTGATGACTTTGAATGGAAAAGAGTGAGACCATGCTCATTCTCCACAATTAATAATCCCTTATATCACAACACTGTGCATAACTGCACCTCTATGTACAGATCTCTGAAATCCTTAACTCTAGCCTTGATATTCTATCAGGGTCCAGACACTGTCAGATATTTCTGCTCAATTGCTGGCCTGCCCTCTCAGTTTCAATGTGTGCAAAATTAAACTTCTATTCACCACTACGCCCCTATCCCAAAACCTTCTCCTCTTCCCATCACAGTAAAAGCCTCATCATCCATCCACGGCTCATGCCTGGAAGTCATCCTTGACACCCACAGCATCCTGGACCAAAGTTGACAAATGATATCTTCACAGCATGTGAAAGCCTCATAATCTACAGTCTGGGAAACCAAAACATAACCTCCTAAACTAACCATCCCTGAAATAGATGTTTAATAGGCACATCAGTGTGATTCAGTGCCTGCTATTCTACCAGAAGATAAATTGGCTCCTTTACCCCTTTACCTAGAGTATATGCGAGGTCACTCGGAAAACAAACCCACAACGAGAGGAGGTGCAAATCTAATCAATGAGAATGAACTGCCCAAGCCTATGATTCTGTAATCATGGTTTTCTTGAGAAGTTTGGGAGAAGCCTGGAATTAAAGAAATCATTACAGTATTCCCCAACTACCCAGGTTTAATTCACTAACACAAGTTTTCCCTGGTCAAATCATTAAACTATTTCCTTTGCCTTTTGTCTATTTCTTTTACCTATAAGTGGGAAAAGGGGAGAAGTGACAAGCTGTCAAGAGGATTCTGAAAATTACAGAGGAATATAGATACTCAAAGACTAACAGTGTGTTCTAATGAAGAAGCTCAACCAATGGCCCCACCACATATTGCTAGGCAATGAGAACACTTATTCATTCTTTGGGTTTTCCATTTATACCTTCAGCAGCATTGACTTCCTGGCAGGAATGGAGGTGCTTTACCCTCTCAAGAGTAAGATTTCCTTGGATGACTATGTTCCTGCTGAGAAGAGCCACAGTAGACTTCAAAATATGATTCTTTCCAGCTACCCAGTTCTCTGTGATGTTGTAAGAATATCTGAAAAAAAAAAAAACAAGAGTGGAAGATGTACCTGAGAGCTTCATTCTACATCTTACTAGAAATAGTAAATAGATTCTCCTTTGGGGACTGTCTAGTTCTTTAGAAAATCAAATACCCAAGAATGAGTCCTATATACATGTGTAAAACACACCGTGTATAGCATTGAGAATTACATACTGACCACTTTCCAAAGCAGAAATTCCAGGGTCCCACTAAAGAAATATTCAAGAAATCTTCACCTTCATAACATTCAAGCTTTATCATTTTGTTTTCCAGGTGTCCGGCAATATTTAACAGTAACATATCTCATCAAGAGACAAATGTCCAGAGGCCGATTTGTGTAAGACCTCATCTTCCCCCACCGCAATTTGAGTACCTCAAGGGAGTCCTGAGATGGAGTTCTGCATTGTGCACAGTTTCCACAACAACAACCTCTTCCATTGATCCGGTGCCTTCAACACTCATCGCACTGATGATGACAGCCTCATCCCCAGGGTGCCAGTCCACAGCTTCCTCCAGAACCAATGTTGTGTCTCCTGCACATGCAGGGGCTCGAAGATAGGTCACAGTCACTTCTGGAACCACACCTAAAGTTGAGAGGAAACTTGTTTCAATACTTGAGTTGTTAATAAAAAATTTGATTTTATAGTAGGTGCGTGTACAAACAGCTAAGGACAGAATAGTGAGATAGAAACCATAGGATCTGCCTCTAGATAAAATTTACATGAGAGCTAGTCTTAACTTAGAGAAATACATCTAGGTGGGCTTCAGTTTTCTCAGTTACACCAAGAAGTAGAAACTTCCAGCATGGGGTTTAGGATGATTTAATGAGATGCAGGTTAATGAGGTATCAAGGGCAGAGATCAGGGTTTACTTTTTCCTTCCCTGTATCACTTTGTGTTTGGAAAATGAGCTTTTACTTCACTCCTATTTTAGAAGTGAGAAAGTAGGTGTTTTATTCTACTATATGAGTCCGTAATTCATTTACAACACAAAGGGTTTAACCCACAAATGCTGTGAGCCGAGTAGGTTGCTTTAGAAATGTCATCTTAGGACTTTGTGTGTTAATTGGTCCCTTCAAACTAAAACAGTCTGGGATCAGTCTGGGATCAGACTGTCAAGCAGCTGAAGCAGGAAAACTTGTGATTTAACAAAGCTGAGTGTCCACAACACTCACATACCCTGATCACACTCCCCGTACCAAGCGCGTATGCCCTTAACTATCAAAGATTTAAGAACGTCATTTACTTCACCATTTACACTGGGGTTTTCCAACAGAGGTCAAGCCAAATTTTTAAAGGCGTTATGTGAAGCAAGAGTTGAGAAAATGCATTGCTTACTCCCCACGCCTTCCCCCTTTTCCTCAGTTCATCCCCCTTCCTCCTCCGCAATAGATCATCATTTACCTTTAGCCCACAGCGAATTGCTGTCCTCCCCGGCTGCACTGAAGTAAAGTAATAATACTTGAATTCCTAACTGCAGGGGTTGCCGACAATAAATCATTTTCAAATTATTTTAAACTTTCCTCTTTATTTATTTGTCTGTGGGTGCACAGACACTTGTACCAACCATGTTGTTCTAGGCTGAGAAAGGTCCTTGGGTTAATGATGTAATTTCTGAAGTTTACCAAGGCAATAATTTTATCTTAAAAAACATTTACAGAGTTCAAAATTTCTAATTATAGGGCAGGTGGAAATTAAGGCATAAATCATCCCCAAAGAAAATAATTTTAATTTTATTTCTTGTTTGTATATCTTAACCCTTGGGAATAAGAAAATGAAATAAAGTTTATTTATTTGTGTATACATATGTGTGAATTTCCCTAACCTGTTCTTTATTGGCTACATATGAGGCTATGGATCAAAGATAGAGTATGATCACATTGTGATGTTTGTTACTTGTTTCAAAAAGAACCAAAAGTGAAGACAACAAAATGTATTTCCCAGCTAATCATTCTTAAAAGCAATGATCAAAGACTAGAGAGATGACTCAGTCATTAAAGACTAGGCTCACAACCAAAAATAAACAATGGTCAAGTCAAGATAAACAAAAAAACCCAGGAAATTTTAAAGTGCATTTCTAACTATTCATATAAATTCAGGTCCTTTCAAATATTGACAGTCTTTCTTTTTTGAAATTACAAAAATTATTGCAATTTTATATTATAATTATAAATTTCCAGTTTTTGTTATATAATTATAAAAATAATTCTTTTACATAACAAAATAACATTGAGTTCATTTTATGTTGGTCATTTACTAGTGGCCAGGATTTCTATTCTTGAATCTGGCTTGTATACCCAGTGAGATGCCATTGGAGAAAATATTTTTTAGCAAGTTGTTATCAGTTGTTGAAAGCTTCTGGGTTAGAGACAGGACTGGTGTCCATGTTGGCTTTCAGCACTGGGCTCCATCTGACTTAGCCTTGTATGGGTTTTATGTGTGCTTTCCGTGAGTCCATATTTACACAAGCCTTTTGTGTCTGGAAGACAGTTTTCTTGGTATCTCCCATGCTCTTCGGCTCTTACAATCTTTGCACCTCCTATTCCTCAGAGTTCCTGAGCCCAGAAAAGAGAGATTTGATGGAGACATCCCATTAAGGGCTGAGTGTTTCAAGGTTGCTCACTCTCTACACATTGTTCCGTTGTGGGCCACTGTATTAGTTTCCATCTGCTAGGAGGAAGCTTCTCTAACGATGGCTTAGTTAGGGTTTCTATTGCTGGGAAGAGACACCATGACCACTGCAGTGGTTATAAACAAAAACATTTCACTGGGGTTAGCAATTCAGAGGTTTAATCTACTGTGCTGACAGTCCTTCAATGCAGCAAAAATTATTTCATAACACTTACTCTCTTTACAAAAGTATGCTCTCCATGTATGAATAAGATATAAAACCTGGATACATTCTGAGTCCCAGCCTCTTACTTTCATCTATCGACCTGTTTGTGAGCTACAATCATTCAAACTCAAGATGTCAGAATGATTATTACAACAATCAATTAAGTTAGACCTTCGGCAGAATGATCTTATTCTAATAATTTCTTATCACATGCTTATAAAAGATTCTCTTTGCTGGCTCACCTGTAGTCCCTCTCTTCAGACACCATTAACCAAGTCCCATTCTTAACTCCCCATTTCTCTCCCAGTAGACCCTGCTCTATAGTTTCTGACTTCATAGGGACATTTCTATCCCAAGAAATTCATCTCCTAACCTGGTTTCATTTAATAGCATCATTCCTGCCTCTTCCTCATTGTCAACTCTATCGCCTGCGATCTTCCCAGCACCAACCCGTCTGAAAGAGACCACTGTCTAATTGTACCATGGAGTTTCAGAGAATCCTTAAGCTACCTGCTATTCTTTACCTCTTTCTACATACTCCTTAGAGTAACATGGGATATGTGATAGAGCATTTAGTGAGCACATCAGGGGTTAAGTCTGCATAATCAAAACCAAGTAGTGGGTAACCCGTTTATGTGAATTGTTTTGTATGAGAGAATACAATAGTATAAAGGAGCAAATAAGAAAAACAAGGATTACAATTACTACACAGCATGTACCAGATCCGAGTCCTTCTCTACCCATATAGACTACACACATCCATACTGAACCTAAGATGAATATGAAAAGGCTCTGGAGAGCATTTTATATCTGATGTCCTCTACCTGAGATTCTCTGGGAGCAACATGCTGCTTTCTTTAGAGTGATTATTGTTGACCATAAAGCCTCCAAGACCTCATGGATACCCAAGTTCTGTGTGGTAATTTGTCACATTACTGACGTGGGAATCCCCTCTGTATACCATTCGTTAATAAATAAGATGCTTTTGGCCAATGGCTTAACAGAATATAGCTGGGCTGGAAAAGATATATATAGAGAGAGAGTAGGCAGAGTCAGTGAGATGCTGTGTAACTGTCAGAAGGGAAAGACGTGAGCCGCCAGCTAGAACCTTGCTGGTACGCCACAAGACTCATGGTAAAATATAAATAATACGAATGGGTTAATTTAAGATGTAAGAGCTTGCTAGGAATATGCTAGAGTCATCGACCAAGCAGTGTTGTAATTAATACAGTTTCTGTGTGAACAGTTTGGGTCAGTGCATCTGTGAAACGAACGAGTGGCCTCAGACTACACATTACCACACCTCTCTTCTGTCTAGTACTGGATTTCTAAAGCTACAGTTATCTGTCTGCCTTACCCACTAAACACAGCAGCAAAAACAATACATATTTTGCTCATTATAAAAGCATCAAAATCATTCACAGTGTGTGGCACATAGTAGATGCTCAGAAAACATATACATGTGTGTATACATATAAATGTGTGATATACATGTATGTGCTTATGTGTGTGTATATATTACATATGTCATATATATATCACTACATATAGTGTGTAACATATATATGGCATGTGTGGTGTACGCATGTATATATTTATAATATGCATATGACATATATATCACTACATATAGTGTGTGACATATATATGGCATGTGTGGTATACGCATGTATATATTTATAATATATGCATACGTATATTTTAAAATAAGATACAGGGAAGCAAGCACCTCAAACTTTGAACATCTACTCAATTAGGTTAGACTCTATGCCATGAAAAGGCCATCATTATGCTTTATTACACAGAGAGTACTCTCCCACACCTTGGGGTTTGACTGGATGGGGAAAGTGAAATCCTCCACCCTTGGACACTTATGTCCAGTATTCTTAGGGTAGCTAACAACAGCAGGGGTATCTCACATTCCTGAATAGAAAACAATGACAAACACATTCAAAGCAAGAATAAATTGGCATGAAAGGTTCCTTATGGTGAGCACAGTCAACAAACTCATTTGCTGGCTTCCCATGTAGTTCATAACAAGTATACCCTTTAAGCAGATAAGAGTGTGGGGGAAAAGCAGTATGTTCTGAGAGTTTGAGGAGACAGCCAATACAATTTTTGTCATCACCAATGAAATATCTACAAGCTGAGCAGATACAAGGAGGCCTCAGGAAGCCAAGACAGTTACTGACCTAAAGCCAGTGCCATGTTTATTAGCACTAAATCATTCTGTTGTTGTTACAGTCGTTATAACATTGTCACCCACATCAGCAGGTAGCACCATGGATGCACAGCTACTATTTTGTTTTGCATTTATGGATGCCCCATTCCAAACACAACTGGACACAGGGTTAGCATTCAACTTACAGTACATAAAATGTCTGTTCTAAATGTTGTCTTCTAAACAATTACTTATAAAGCCAAGCAGACAAATACCTAAGTGAAGATGTTATATGCAATATGTAACAAGCATAAAATAATACATTTATTGAAGAATTAGGACAATCCTAAGTTTTCTTTTTCCTGGAGAATTTTAGCTGTCCATTCAACACAGTCCAGAGCTACCTGAGGGAGTCTCAATTGGAGGATTGTCTCCATTAGGTTGGTCTGTGGGTTTTCTTGTGATTGATTTGAGAGGGCCCAGTCCAATGTACATAGTTGTCAACCCTGAGCAGATAGCTCCTAGGCTGTATAAAAAAACAGACTGCACACAAGTCAGAGGGAATAAGTCAGTAAGCAACATTCCTCT